TGCTAGATTGGGTATTTCACTTGTTTTTCTCTCTCCAATAAATTACAGCTATTACTTTCCACTAGTTACTAATCAGAATTTAGAAGTTTCAAGCAGTTTTAATGCTTGCAAAATCATGTAAAAATTGCTTAAAACATGACTTTTATAAAATATTGGAATCTCAGTTTTCTATAACTTCCTACTCTGGATGATTTCTATATTCTGCTAATTAATTGATGCTACAGAGCATCTTGATTTCAGAAAAAAGTTCTATTCAAGTACAAGTTTTCAAATAGGCTCAGAAAATGAATGTACAAAATTTAAGATTATTTGAAATTTGGCCTTTTCTTAAAAAGGCTTAAAAAGGATTTCTATATTATATAAGGGATAATATAAACAAGCTGCCCCTCCATCACAGGTGGATTACAAAGTATGAGACTGAAAGACAAGTGCTTCCAATTAGCTCAGAATTAATCCCACTTATACAGGAACAAATGAGAATAAGCAGAGAACAGATCCAGAAAAACATGGCCAGCCACAGACTCTTTCTCCCAATTTCACTCATTGTTTCTTTCTTCTGTTGCTGAGACTGTGCCTTATTCATCAAAGAATCAACCCCAGCAGTCTATCCCAGTTAAGTGGTCAGTCAAAGCAAACAACTGTGCTGTCCCAATGCCTCCTGATCTGATTCTAACTCTCAGACTGCAGGTCCCCAAAGATTTTACCATAATAGATGCCTGCATTTATACAGTACTTTTGTCCTCAAGACTCCCTAGCCAGTTTCTTATCGTCCCATCACTCCTTCTTGTGCACACCCCCTCATCCCACCCTCTGGTACACACACATGTGTAACGTTAAAGATAACCATATACATAAATATGTTCAAGTTTGGGGTCTATATATGCATACAAGAATAACTCTCCGCCTCCAAATCCCCCCCCCCCCAAATTGTAATCAAATATGGGGTCCAAATGACTAGATCTCTTTTTTACATGCCATTGTTGGGACCTTTGCTTTACATGTCATCCAGAAGAAGGCCCTTTCATCCAACTGCCATCATACTGGGCACCTATGCCAGTCGGTCTCAGAGGAGAAAGTGGAACTTACATAAATGCTGGCACTATGTCCCACTTGACTTTCTTTGTAACTCTCCCTATAGCAGTTTGGCAGCAGTAGAGCATCCTTGTGGAACTTCTGGGCAGCCTGATATTACCACAGGTCTCTCTGGGTGGGTGGGAAGAAGTCTCTATTTCCTATACCCACTCAGGCAGGCTCTGGCCCAACAGCTCATTGTCCTTGGAGTAATATCTCCTTGTGGATGTGGCTGACGGGCTCTGCTGCAAAAATGTTCAACAACAAATACAACATGTAACTCAACACTGGCCCACCTGCCACTCTCCCAAGGGAAGAGAAGTATTCCCAGCCTTTTCTCTAGGCTTGATTCCCAGTCTCTGACTGGTGTGTTGCTCACTCCTTGAGATCTAACTATTCATCCACTATGGCTTCTCAAGCTAGCAGCCTCTCTCCATAACTCTGCAAGCAAAGTTCCTCTCAAGAAGAGAGGTAGAGCTCAATCCCTCCTTCTGGCCAGACTGGACCAGGCTTTCTCTTTTGTATTTCCTCTCAAGCCTTGTCATTGACTACAGGCATAGAAAGGCAGAGCAAGCAGAGCCCATGGGCTCTCCTTAATCCCTTTGCTGCTGGTATAGGACCTCTCTGTCCCATCACACTCCCATACAAGTATTGACTATGACTCATCCTGTATAGCTTAAGAGATCATAGCGGCCCACCTAACACTTTGATCTGGCCCGCGGACTGCATCTTGCTGTTTTCTATTTATATTCTGCTGCCCATGCTACCAAATTTCAGGCAGTGGCTCAGGCATTAGGATCCTATTTAAATGGCTTCTGGCTCCCAGGCACAGTGCTACCCCAGCAGGTGCTGAAGCCACGGGCCCTTTAAATGGCTGCAGCAACCTGGGCAGATCCAAGGCAATGTAGTAGCTGCAGGGCCGTGAGCTGTGAGTCCTTTTCTGTGTTTTTAATTCAAAGCCTTCAGCCCCAGACAACTCTGGGAAGACTAGTCTCCCGCCCTGCCCCTATCTCCCCAGACCTCATCCCTTTCAGTGGGGGAGCCAGCCCATGACCATGTAGCAAAATTCATGACGTGTCCGTCCTTCAAAAAATTATTGCCCACCCCATCATAGCCCTAGTCACTCAAGAGTATTGAATGTTTATGGTTTGTATATACAAACAACTAGACCACAGCAAGCTGGGGTGTGAATCTACCTTGCACTAGTCTGTGTCATTGTGAACCCTCCTGACACACTAACAGTGCATTACAGTGCTTTGATTTCATCCTTGAGAAACAAGATTAGCTCAAAGTGTATTCTTGAACTGTCAATGGACATAGATAGACCATGGCAGGGGAGGAAGGGTTGATTCCCAACTCCAATTCCATAATCTATTGTTTGGTAAAACAGCCCTAGGAGTATGATCTTTGGGGAGGAAGCAGTCTCTTCATTCCCATACATGGAAGGCAATGCCATTCTGCTTACCAGCTATTAAAAAGATGGGCTGTGTCTAGACTGGCCATTTTTTCCGGAAAATCAGCCGCTTTTCCGGAAAAACTTGCCAGCTGTCTACACTGGCCACTTGAATTTCTGCAAAAGCACTGACTTACTACTGTAAGAAATCAGTGCTTCTTGCGGAAATTCTATTCTGCTCCCGTTCAGGCAAAAGTCCCTTTTGTGCAAAGCTTTTGTGCAAAAGGGCCAGTGTAGACAGCTCAGATTTGTTTTCTGCAAAAAAGCCCTGATCGCAAAAATGGCGATCGGGGCTTTTTTGCGGAAAAGCGCGTCTAGATTGGCACGGACGCTTTTCCGCAAAAAGTGCTTTTGCGGAAAAGCGTCTGTGCCAATCTAGACGCTCTGTTCTGAAAATGCTTTTAACGGAAAACTTTTCCATTAAAAGCGTTTCCAGAAAATCATGCCAATCTAGACGCAGCTATGGTGTCTGTATAGCTGTGGCCTATGCTCATCTATAGGAAGAGAATTGGCAATAGGACATATAGTATGGAATGAATGAAAGGGACAGGTTTCAAGGAGCTGGAGACAGAAAAGAATAAAGGAAAACTGCATAATTTCCACTATGAAAGATCTAGCAAACAATGGGAAAGTAGGAGGTTGCCTTTTATTTTAAGCTATCATAATAATTTAGTTTTAAAAGATCTATCCACACAATAGTTATTTAGAAAAATTAATATGCTCAAGTTTATCTCCCTCATGACATGTGAGATGCTTGAAACTTGCTCTCACTTTCAAGAACAGTGTTTTCTTGCTGCTATATCCAAGTTGTCAAGGTCCTGCCATCCAAAAACTGTTTTTTACCAAGAACATTTATGCAGCATGAGGGATCAGTAGTGTTCCTCACCAAGCAGCCATTTTTATCAGAAGGGTAGCCTAATTCTGTTTCTATACCTGGAGACTTTTTTTTTTTTTAACAAGGCTAAGGATTTAATTGTGTTATCAGTCCTCTCCACTTTATAGGGAGCAATGGAAGAGACTACTTCTACCCTGTATGCCAAGTAATAATAAAGACTCTATTTTACATATGCAGTGTAATTGTTGCTGTGTAGGTCCCAGGATATTTAGGAGACAAGGTGGATGAGATAATATCATTAATTGGTGAGAGAGCTTGTCTATTGGTCCAATAAAATATTTTAACTTATCCACCTTGTATTTCATATTTTATATAGACATGAGCATGCACACATACACATACACAGTCAGAAGTATTTATAAAAGGAATGTAAGCAGAATAAATTAAAAACATAATTAATTACATGTATGAAAGCAGCACATGAGACTAATCAAAGTACACAGTGTGCTAATGAAAGTTAGCAGCTAGCATAAAATGAAAGCAGGGTTTGCCAGAATGAACTGGAAAATATATTCTGGCTAGAGCTAATGGCTTGTGGCATTGTTGTATGTATACATTGACTGAGGCAGCATAGGCAAAGCTTCAGCAATATTGTCTGCAATAACTGTAGTCAAAATGTTAATTATCTTTTTGCTATTTGGCTACATTAGCAACTCATGAGGTCTCTACCTCTTATTTTTGTTGTACTGAGTAATTACAGATAACTGCATATACACTTGTAATGAACTCCGTTTAAAAGCAAACTTTTACCACCAATTACCACACACACACACACACACACACACACTGCAATCTGAAATACATAGTCACTTCTAAGGTGAGGAAAATACTGAGCTATGTCCTACACTAGAGTGTGGAATCTAAAAGTAAATGTTGATTATTTTTTAAATAAGACGAGGGTTGAAAAAGCACTTACCATCATAATTTTATACATTCTAGAAGTTAACATAGAATTATCTTTCTTCATTATGTTTTTTTCTTCCTAAATTAAGACCTGGAAGTTCAGTTTAAGTGATGAGAGTATAGACTTCCACATTTAGCATTCAAATAAAAACATGCTATTTGGTTTATATTCATACACAGTATTGCATGTTAGCATCTTAAACACTGGAGTTTATTATACACGCTTTACCACACTGCAGTTCAATGGCAGTCTGATCATAATTTTTCATATTGGCTTGATGATCCTTTACAGCTGCAACTTTTGCCTTGGCTTGCTGTAATCTCTCATTGGTCATTTGAGAAACAATGGAATCCAGAACCAATTTTTCTGATAAGTTTTCTTTTCTTAACATTAATTGCCTGGAGAAAAATAAAGGAAGAGACTTTAGTCTTACAAATAGCAACTCACAGCCAAGGTTTACCATTCACAGATCAGCTGAGCAAATTTCCTGATAGAAATGTTGTCTCTAAGAATTAGACTCTTTTATATAAACATGCTTTTAGCTGCTTCTTTATATTTTATAACTGTATCTAGCTTCTTTTTTCTCCAATTAAACTAGACTAATTAAATTGACTTTAATGAACATTTCTGCTAGATTTGGAATTTGACATGCTACAGCCATGCTTTTCTTTCACCTCCTTTCCCATGGTAATTAATGTATATATAATTTAGACAGGCCATAGGAATAATTTTTGCTCCTGTGCCTGCAGATTGCCTACAGTGCAGATGACCGTCCAAGGCTCTCTGCATCAAGGATTCTCAACCAGAAGTACAGGACAGAAGCTATGCAGAGGTCTTCCAGGCAGTACATCAAAGTGGGTGGCGACACTAGCAGGAGGCATAAAAGGCAGGGAAAGGCAAGGCCTTCCCAAACTGCCAGCCTGGCCCCGTCTATATTCCACCCTCATGCCCTGCCCTCCAGAGCATCATGAGGCTTAGAGCTCAGAGGCTGAGGCTTAGAGCCATGCTGCCAGCCCTCCTGAGGCTGGGAAAGCTGGAATCGGGTGCCTCCCATGCTCTGTGGGCGGGGAGCCATCTGCAGCATGCCCACTAGGGCTGAGTACTACCTTTCCCATGCTTCAGGAAAGGCTGGAGCTGTGAGCCACCCACCCTCTTCCACATGTTCAGCCAGGTCCATGTGCCTCCCACCCTCTCTCCCCCAGTCCTGCAGGCAGGGCTGGAGAAGGCTGGGGCTACTTGCCCTTTTCCCTGGTGTTCCGCCAGAGCTGGAGAAGGCTGGGGTCATGCCCTGCCCACCCTTCCTCTCCCTAGAGCTCTGTTCAGGGCTGTGCACTGTCCACTCTCCCTTTTCCTAGTGTTTATTGGCCTGCCTCTACAGTGGGGGTGCTTGGCTTCCCACAGGGTCCTGGGCAGCAGGGGCAGGCCTTCACATGGCAGGAACAGGGTTGGGAGCTTAGGTTCAGCCACCACCCATGGGTGGCAAATTCATTTTTATGGAAGTACCAAGACCAGAGTTAGACACACTGGGGTCCAGGGCAGAAAGTCAAAATTCAAGCTCCACTACCTGAAGCAGAAGCCAAAGCCCAAGCAGCTTAGCTTTTCAGGACTCCCTGTGGTGTGTAGAGCAATTCCACTATCAGTCAGACTAAAAAGACACTCAAAAAGAGTTGGTATTGTCCTGTTTGTAAGAAATCCTCATTGACGAACTATTAAAACATGAACTTATTTAAAATGTATTGTGCTCTAATGGTAAAACTTGAGTAAGAAATGCAGCTGTGGTTAAAAGTCTCCAAGTATCTCTAGTATCAATCAAATTAAAGTGGTTTATAATTTGATTACTGCACATTTCATCAAATTGAAAATCAGTAGACAATGTAACTTCCAAAGAGGTAAGTATATTTTTAAAGAAATGTACAAATCAATTAAGCTGCAAGTAGTATACAACATAGGCTATATTCAACTTAGTAAATCTCTTTTTTCACTTTTGTACAGAAAGACCATTCCCCAAAAAGAAACCCTCCCAAATTCAATCTAAGTAACAATGTAATTAATTATTTTAAAAGAAGTGCACACGTACTGGCATTAATTTAGGACCCAATACTTAAATCCTTACTTAGGCAAAATTTTCCTTGAAAGCAATGGGAGTTTTGCCTATGCAATTCTTGAATGCAGAATTTATAACAAGGGAATAAAGGAGAAAGCCTGTTCAATCTTCCTTTGCCAGTGCAAAAGCCAGATAGTGCAGGGCTACATAGTAGCAAGGAAAAAATTGTGGAATCCATGGGGACAACGCTTATTGAAAAACCAGTTACTTTATATGGCCACACTCAAAAGCTCGAGGCATACTCTTATGGATGATTGTGGATGAGAATGTAGGCTTCTGAATAAGTCTACCACAGTCTGGACTCTTTCCGGTGGTAAATAAGCCCTTGCTAGTGTGGAATTTAGCACTTCCCCTATGAACTGTTCTCTGTGGTGGCAACAATGTGGTACTGAGTCTGAGTAGTACTGTAGAAAGATGTGGAATTAGGTGAACTAAATAGTTCACCTCTTGGGGTAATTTTCCTCAAATGAGTCAATTTTTAATTAACAGATATAGCTGGATCCCTTGTCCTCTGTGAGCCACCATGACCACTAACCACTTGGTGAATTCCTTTGGGGCTGATGAAAGACAAAGAGCAAAACTCTGTACTGACAGATACTCCCACGTGGAACCTCAGGTATTTTCTGTGTATCTATTGAACTAACTGTGTAAAGAAAGTGTCTTGTAAAATAGAGAGCCACCAAGCTACCCTGCGGATTTGGGAATTTAATAATTGCATTATAGAGACCATCCTTACATTCCTGCATTTGAAATGACGGATGAACTTTTGCAGATTGGACTGATTCATATCAAAGTGATTTATATTGAATTTTAATCATGACTTAAATCAGCAAGCAAGAAACCTTGATTCAAATAATCAATTTTAATCTTGTTTTGCATTTGTACTTTTTACTTATTTTCTAAAGGAAGTTTGAGTCTCACTGGTTAGTAACCATTAAACTATGTTGATTTGCAATTTAAGATAGCATTTATGTAACTCCAGAGACCTTTGTTAATCTCTCGTTTCCAAAGGTTGTGGTCTTAAATGTGATTTACCCATTTGTCCACATTGAGGTCTTTCTTGCACACATCTCTGAAACAGTTTTGAAAATGCTTTGCCAGATCACCATAGAGGATGTCTTTTAGGAAGTGGCCTCTATTCATTCAGTACATATGCCCCTAGCTAGTAGAAGCATCTCTGTTTGAGGATTGTTTGCATGCTCTGAATGTTGGACCATCTGAGCAACTCAGTGTTAGTGACTGGCCCTCCAGGAGATTGCAAAAGTTAGAAAAGGTATATGAAAACTGTTGAGCCTGTTTTCCTAATGCCAGTATAAATTACATATCTCACTCCCATACAAAAGTGTGCTAATAACACATGCACAATACACACAGATCTCTGTGTTTTGTGTCACCTTGTTGTTTAGACATACCCTCTTGTTCAGTCTAGACACTGTGGCAGCTTTTCCAATGTGGATGCTGAGTTCTGTTTCAAGTGAAATGTTGACTGTGGCCCAAAATAGGGCTGCCCATATATGTGAACTAGTCTATCAATTCAAGTTCATAGATGTCAATCTTGATGGAGAGTGCTTTTTCAACTCACTGGCATTTAAATTTAGTTTTCTTTAGGCTTATAGTAAGCCAAAAGTCTTGGAAGGATTTGGAAGTACTTTTCATTAGGCTTTGAAAATGAGCTTCTGTGTGGGTTATCACTATTGTCTCCTCAGCAAAGAGGATGTGTTGAACAAGAGCCTCCCAAGCTTTGGTTTTAGATATGAGTCTTCTAAGATTAAACATCTTTCCATCAGACCCTTCGTGCAAGAAGACTCTTTCGGCTGAGGAACCAAACCTTGTTTCAATAGCAGGGAGCAAAAGATCCCAGAGTTGGGGTAAATACACAACCTTGCTTACTTCCACTATTAATCTGGAAAGCTTCAGAGACTAAGATGTACATGTTTTCATGGAAGGATCAAATCATGCTTAAGAGCTTGGGGGGTCATTTAATCTTTTCTAAAATTGCGAGTTGTCCACTTCTACTGAGAAAGTCAAAAGCCTTTGTGAGATTGATGAAGGTTACATAGAGGGGCTTTTCTTGTTCTCTGAATTTCTAATGTAGTTATCTCATCAAGAAGATCATGTCAATAGTAGAGCTGTCAGCTCTGAAGCTGCACTATGATTCGGGATAGATTCTGTCTGTAAGGGTCTAAAATCTGTTCAGCACTCGGGCAAAGGCTTACGCCATAATACTAAGGGAAATGTCATGATAGTTGATATTGTCATGCCTGTCACCCCTGTTTTTGTGGAGAGTAATGATGTTGGCATTACTCATTTCCTGTGCTACTTTACCTTCTTTCCAGCACAGGTGGAGCAACTCATGAAGATGTTGCAATAAAATAGGTTTTATTATTTTATGACCTTTGATGGTATGCAGTCTTTTCATGGGGCTTTTCTATTAGGGAGGCCATATATGGCAAGGCTAAGCTTCTCAACTGTTGGTTCATTGTCAACTTGGTTCATAACAAGATGACTTTCGATAGTCTGATGTCTGCATTGATAATATTTTCATGAGAATAAAGTTCGAGTTAGCATTCTACCTAAGGATGAAACTGTTTGGTGCAGTCATTCATAGCTTCCCTTATTGATTTCAACACAGGTATCTTCTTTGATGCTAGACCTAAGGCATTCTTGAGCCTGGCATACATATTTTTGATGTTACCTATATCAGCATGTCCTGGGATACTTTCACATAAATGCAGCCAATAGTCATTGGCACAGTGTTGAGCATTTTGTTGTACCTTAGTTCTTGCACTCTTGTAAGGTTTTTTTTCATTTGGTTTTGGCTGTGTGTTTGGCTTCTATGCCTGGTGACAACACACTGACTGACATTTTGTTAACCCAACTGTTAAAAAGCTACATCTTATTTCTAGTTTGAAATTTGTCTAGCATCAGCTTCCACAGCTAGATCTAGTTTAATCTAGCAAAGATATAAGAGCGTGATCACAAATTTTTTCCCGACATAGGTGCTTACAAACCATGATCAAGTTACCTCATAATCATCTCCTGGATTAACTAAAGAGATTTAGCTCCTTTAACCTCTCAATGTAAGGCAGATTTTCCAAACCTTGAATCATCTTTGTAGCTAATTTCGGAGTCATTTTCACCACGTCACAATTTCAGCTCATGATCAGTAGACTACCTATCACAGAGTCACTGCTTTCCAGAATGCAGTCCCCATTCATGTAAGAGTGATCTATGCCTCTTTGTTCTTAGTGTACACAGTGGCTATATTAATATGCATTTGTTCAAATGAGTGCATTTTACCAAGCTGTCCAGATTGCTCTGTAGAACAGATCTGGTCTTTTCATTCTAAAAATTGCTTTTTATTCCCCTTAGCACAGCAGATCCAATAGCTAAGAGGTAGGGAGCTAGATTCTATTCCATCCTATGCATCATCAACAGAATCATTTCCAATCAGTTCCACAAGTGCAAGCCCACTGAAGACGATGGAATCATTCAACTGTCACTAATGGCTTAATTTGAGACAATAAGGTTGCAGAGGTGCAACTGGAGGTTTAATGTGGCTTGCAAAACCTTTGTATATGGTAAAGATACATAACATGGAAATTGGCTGTCTCACCTCTCAGATTGGAGGTTGAGTTTGTAGTTAAAGAAAAACATTTGTGTTGTAAAATAAACATATTTCATACGGCTGTCATTGAAAGCCAACAAACATGGACTCTTACAAGTAATTTTTCGTAGCAAAGCTATGCTTTAAAATGTGAATGGGTGCCTTTAGGGATTAGGAAAAATACTTTAAAATACATAATGTAATTGCCTGAAAAATGTAGTTAGTATGTGTGCAGAATAGTTATATTACACAATAGAATGCACTTTTTTCATACATTTACAAAATCCTAACTTTCATGGTTCAAGGCTCAACAATTCCAAATTGTACTAAGCTGAATTCTAATGAATGCATTGACAACCTCAGTTCAATTTTTGCCCCCAAATTGTCTTGGGCCTTAAAACTGTTAAAGATTTATTTGCACCACTGATTTCAATCCAACTCTGCTTAATAAAAATAATATGGCATTGTGCTTCACATAAAGGCACTGCATAGTAAGACAAAAAGGTTGCTATTGTGTCTTATCTGAACAGAGCACCATTAAGCAAGCAGCATGGGCATTGATTGTTATATATATTTGCTGTATATTTTCTACTACACAGAGTCTCAAGGAAAAAAATGAGAAATCTCAGCCACAATGCTGAAGTCTTGAACTAATAAATACTCTGATGCTTTTTTTTTCTTGGTTTATTTTATGCACTTTTCTCCATGTAATCCAGCACAGGTGACACTATATAATAAGAATAACGTACTGTCTGCTTTATTTTTATGGTTAAAAAAATCCAAAATGTTTTTGTGGAATTTTCCCTTTAAAAAGTCACATTAGTGTTGAAATTTGTTTATGGTCACTATTCTCACTTCATGTAAAGACACAAATCCTGTCCCAGCCTCCTGACCCATGGAAGATGGTGCACCCAGAGAACTTTCATGCTGCTGCTCAGTTGCGTGAGCTGAGAGAGGTGGCTCTGAATTCCACTATACAGGCCACTTCAGACCTAAAGTCTTCCCTTCCCAAGTACCCAGTACATGTACACAGCACTTATACCCAGATTTGGTGCAAGGAACAGGATTGGCCTGTGTAAGAGAGGAAATAAGAATGTTCTTAAAGTTCCCATTGATTTTGTGGTTTCTTATCTAGAGAATTACTTTGTTTACAATACTGTAACTCTGATATTTGTTCTGCTTTTGGAATTAAGAGTGTGATTTATTGGGCTACGTCTACATTAGCAAGATTTTACGCAAATACTCTTTAACGCAAGAGTTTTTGCATTAGAGTATTTGTGCAAGAGAGCATCTACACTGGCATGTGCTTTTGCGCAAGAGATGTGCTTTTGCGCAAAAGCATCCATGCCAATGCCGACGCTCTCTTGCTCAAGAAAGCTCTGATGGCCATTTTAACCATCAGGCTTTCTTGCACAAGAAATTCATGTTTCCTGTCTACACTGGCCTCTTGAGCAAGAACACTTGCGCAAGAGGGCTTATTCCTGAGCGGGAGCGTCATAGTTCTTATGCAAGAAACACTGATTTCTTACATTAGAACATCAGTGTTCTTGCACAAGAACTCGCGGCCAGTGTAGACAGGCAGCAAGTTTTTGCGCAAAAGTGGCCGCTTTTGCGCAAAATCTTGCCAATGTAGACAAAGCCCTGGTGTTTCTGTCTATTCTACAAATAAGCATCCAAAACATTCTAACATGTGGATGTAGTTCAGTCTAGAAAAATGATCCACTTTTGTGTGCAGCATTAATATTTATAACACTGAGTATTAAGAAAAGCATACCTGTGCTCTTGAAAATTTTTAATCAGCTCCTTCCATTTTTCTGCATCTTCTTTGTTTTCCTTAACAATGCTCTTTCTTTCCTTTATGGTTTCCTCACTTTTCCTCCATCTGTCAACTTTAAACAAACTCTGTGTCAAAGAAGCATGCTGAATGCTGAAGTTTTGAATTAACGAATACTCTGATGCTTTTTGGTTCTTGTTTTCTAAAAACTGAGCATGCCTTTTCCTTGTTTTTTCAATAAATTCTGATCTTCTCAATTGATGTTGGTGTAAAGCTTCTTGAATTCTAATGTCTTCTTCTTTGCATCTTTTCTGAACACTATTCTTTTTCTCCTCATGAAAACTCTTAATAAAGCAGTCAGCTTCATCTTTGGCAATTTGCATCTGCATAACCCCAGATATCTTTTTAGCTTGGACCTCACATCTCTTACTGTCCCTGTAGGCTTTATCAATAATATAAAATGGTCTAAGTCTCACAGCTCCGTACATTTTAGCAAAAATTCTCTTTTCTATATTTACTGGGTGATTCACAGCTTTAAGTTGTGGAGCACAATCAACAAGAGAATGGATTGGTTGTACAGCATGATACATTTCTTCCTCTTTCTTTTGAAAAATCATCACCTTATCCTTCACTGAATGAAAAGCAGGTTTACAAACAGAAAGCCTAAATTTAGTTTCTGCCTGTTCCTCCATATTACGTTTCTCCACATCCAAGAAACCTACAATACAAAGAATGCAATCTGTTAGTGCATATTTTATTATAAAAATTTACTATTTCTTAATATATCAGACTCATTAGCCTTTTAATCTGCTGATGCTAAATGTTCTATTTAAGTCAATCTATCCTTCTGTGAATTTCAGCTAAATTAGATTACTTTAAAAATAAGACATTATGGGTACATTAACACAGCAGGGCTAAAGTCGAATTAAACTACGTAATTTCAGCTACGTCAGTTGCGTACCTGAAGTCGAAATAGCTTAATTCGGCTTTTGGCGTCTAGACAGTAGGAAGTCAAAGGAATAACACTATTCCTTCAACTTCCTTTATTCCTCCTGAAATGAGGGTTACCATGAATTGGAGTACAAAGTCCTCCAGCTCGCCATTATTTCAAAATAATGCCTTGTACTGTAGACACGCATTATGTTATTTTGGAATAACTAACATTATTCCAAAATAACGTGCTGCGTAGACATACCCATATTATCTTGCTATTTCACTACAGTATTATCATCTGCCAAAATTTGCTCATTCAAAACTCTTAATGGTGATAGGCAAAGGCTTAGAATTAAGTCTAATAGATTGCTTTTTATTGTGTCAAAATGGCTCTGCAAAATTGTAAAATGTTTAACAATAATAATAGTACGTGCCAGCTTAAAAATCATTTACTCTTCTTGTTGGAACCTAATCCAACCCCTCAATGAATTTAATTAGAATCCTTCAATTTACTTTAATACATTTTAGATCAGCATTAGATTACTCGTCCAAAGAAAAATTATGGTATTTTGATAGTTTCACAAGTTCTTATACCTTTTATCTTTTTAAAGGCACGGTTTTTAACATTCTGACATTGAAAAAAAATAACGGCATAAAATAATGTAACAGTTAAAGAATATTATTAGGAATAATATCTAATTTTATTCAGAGTTTTTAAAATATATCCCTTGTTCTACCTGTATTTCACTGCATCTCTTAAAATTCAATATCAGTCAGATTCAATTGGGTACTCCATCTTCTATATTCATGTCCACAACAAATTCTTTCCCTTTTTATACTCTGAGTATAATAGATGTTCAAATACTGTCGTTGGTTTTATTTATGGAAAAATCTTTACAGGAGAAGTGTATTCAAGGCAATTAATGGTTTTTTGCAGAGTATAAAGCACAAAATGAAGCTAAAGCTTGTCTGAGTACCACACATGCCTTTCATTTCAAGCATGTTCTAACTTACAGATATTCTATTTGTTGTGTGGTAAGGAAAATAAAATAAAATAAAATATTGTCTTGCTTTGTGAGCATTTTAAATTTCTTTGCTTCTACTTTCCAGTGATGTAATTTGGAGGTAGTGGGAGTATATTAAAAAACAAGTAAGTTTTCAAGGATGTGGCCTGGGTAGAAAGGAATGCTGAGATGGGATATGTTTATGGTAAATGAGGGCAGATATCTGACATGATCTCAAATTTTCATAAGTTTTTATTTAATAACTAATTCAATCAAATCAGCTGAATTGAATTAGACAGGGTGATCCTTGTTTAATTGCAGCCTGACCCATGTGCCTAGATGAGCCATGCCATCATATGTTTCAGCAAAAATCATGACACTCTCTTGATCTGTGGTTTATTCAGGTGGACCCTCTTCCCCACCTTCCTACAATGGTTCACCAGAGCAAGCATACAACAGGTTCTAAACAATTCCATTTTGTTATGGCTATGCCGGTCCTGGCAGTGGCCCAAACCTACCACATCAGCTTTCATACAGGTTTTCTCCGTTCTCTGTCTGTTGCAAATGGCAAGATTCTGTGCTACACTTACCAATTGGTTTAAATGTGTTTGCTTCTTCCCCTAGTCTATGTACACATGGGCCAGGTCATTTAATCCTTGGAACATGTGGTATCTGAAACAACTATAACTGACTATAAAAAGTCGGAATAATTAAATAAAAAGCAAACAAATTGTGACACACACACACACACACACACTTCCAAGAATTCTCCAGGACCTCAGAGTTAGTCAGATCATCTAATTTCACATGCCCCTGAGATGCATAAAAATGTAGAGCAAGGTAATCGGAGAGAAAGACACTAATGAGGTCCAAAATATAGAATTTTAAGCCAAAGGAATTGAGTAAAGAATGCAATGAACTGACAAACAAGCAATTGGGAAGATAGGTAAAGAAAGCAAAGAGGGTCCGTGATACAAAATGCAGGGACAACACCTGCTACGTGGGAGGGCCTTTTATATACTGTAACATAGGCAACCACAGACAAGTTAGAAGGCTGCATGACTCCAAGCACCAGCCAGTTGCCAAACATGTCAAATCAGCATCTGCAGTGCCTCATCCAAGGCTAGCGTGCTTATTCCATCATTGCCTTATCATCACCTTTAGAAGGGTGGCTGGATTAAAGTTCAGATGGGGATTACAGAGTGCATTTTGTTCAACTGTTGTGCGGAAAATCCAGCCACAGTCAGCAGAGCCAACAGCCTTGGCAGGCTCCTGGGCAAGGTAAGGGAAACAGCTCCATGCTTCCAGAAGGGATGGGCTCAAGGGCAGAAGGGGCAGGGCTAAGGGCTTCTGGCCTTCAGCACTGTCCGGAGCACAGCAGAGGCTCCCCCAGACCTTAGTGCTGGCCGGAGTGTGCAGCACAGTGTTCCAACAGTAATTTAAAGGGCTAGCAGCTCCAGCCGTCACCTCTGCTACTTTCACCAAACCCCAGGAAAACTGTCCTCTTTGCCCCACACTCCTGTCAGTTCTAGCCAAGCCTTCCCACAGGTCAATATGATCCCACAGTACTGCCAGTGAGGGTTAGTAGCAAATTGCCTCAATCAAGCACCAAATAATTGTGCAATATGCATAATATATTACATTTCTGAAAGAGAGCTAAATGTTGCCAAATACTTTATAGATTATTTTGAATTTTTTAAAACATCGCTAATCAAAATGCACTGATTTGAGATAACAGCAAAAACTTAACTACAGTAACTCAGAGGAGGTAGCTTTTTGAATAAGATAAAACAACTTCTAAAATATTTCAACATAATGAACAGGGGAAAAGTTGTCTCTTCTATGTGTTTACTTTTGTATCATGGATAGCATTCTCATTAATAACATAATGGCTTCTGTACTTCTGATTAGCAATACTACACTATGAGATCAACTGTCTTCATAATAAAGATTAAAATTTACTTTGATGGCTCTTATTTGGGTTGTGGGTGTAGTAGCTGAATGTTATTTTTATGCAATAATTGCATTTGCAATATAGTAAGGGTCACAAAACAATTTTGTTTTACCTGTTTTCTGATCAAATCCTTTTTTATGTGTGTTCTAGTCCTATTTGCTTTACTTACTCATAATATAAGTTTTAGCGCTGTAAGAAATGCAGACCCAATAGTCAGTAGCTGCACAAGAGCATGCTGTATTTTGTTCTACCTCATACATCATCATGCAAAGCAAGCCATATGCTGACTACAGAATATTTATTGTTGACAATGTATGAGGGTAAAAAAATGGCTTGATTTCCAGATACTTGAAGCGCTTCAGTTAAAAAAAATCTTGGTTTGATTTGAAAACTGAACAATTTTGTTACAGAGTGACTTATGGAAATAAATATTAAACACCAAAATGTCAATTTAAAGCATCATTTTTTCTAATCGTAATAATATAAAAAGTGGGTATAAACATTCTCTCTTTTCAACCTGAAAAGGATTTTTTGTGGATGAAAACTAGAGAAAGCTTTACATGAAGTTTCCTTTTGAAAAGAATATGTAGCTACATGTCAGTGACAGAATACAAGTTTTATCTAAGATTTCTGGCAAATAATGTAGTGTGTCATATTTCAGATTTTCCCCTTTGCCATCTCCAATACAGTAATCCTTTGATTGTGTCAACTGGAACAATTCAGTATGGCTACTAGGATGTTTTCTTACTCTTTGAGGTACGTGAGAATTCAAAAATAATTTTCTTAAAATCCTCCTATTCTCAGTTAAGAGGGACTCCTAACATACATATAAAGTAGACATAGTGGCCCTCTGTGTTTATTTAGCACATCACATACTGAATCAACATTTCCTTACGTATACTCGATTTTTTAAATGTCTACAGTGCTTTAAAGACTTTGTTCAATAGCAAGATGTTGTTATAGACATTACTTTGATTCCCTGGAATTATCATACCAATATAGTTGCCCAAGTCTTTTATGAAAGCTCTCAGCCTACACTGCATACAACGAATCATAACTTAAATTAGCCACTTGAATTAACAGAGTAACTAATAGCAACAGTAGGTTGTACTGGGAAGCAATTAAATACAATTATCTATCATGAATTAAAGTAAGAAGCACCTAAATATGTAACCAGCAAAAAATATGACAACATCGTTTAAATAATGTATGAACTTGACATTAAACTTTGAGTAAAAAGTACCCTGAACAGGCATGTTTGAGAATGAAAAAATGGTTGATGTTAGAGAGGCACCATATTCTCCATAATTTCACCATTCAAATAAAAATTAAAGGTCATGGTATTAAAAAGATGAGGTGGTGATATACCTTTTATTGGACCAACTTATGGTGAGAGAACAGAGATTAAAAATAAGCCAGCATGCCCCTGTGTAGTGCTCAGACAAGAAGCCATCTGGCTGGGGTACTCAGCTGAAGTGGGAGGGACGGGCGCTCCCAGCCAGGCTCCCGGGGCTTCCTGCAGGCTGCCACACTCAGCAGCAGGCAGGCAGCTTAGAGGGGCTGGCTGGGGCATGCCTCCCAAGACTGCCCCAGCACTGAGCTCTCATCCCTTGTCAATTCAGTGGGGGTGAGGGAGGCTGTAGCCGCACATACCAGGCCCCTGCTACTTTTCCTGCTTCCTCTGACTAGGGAGCAAGGAGAAAATTCATAGCTTGCTGCATTCCTCCTCTGCCCTTTTCTTGGGCAGTTGGGAGCGAGAGGAATGAAGCAGGCTCTGCACTTTCCCCTCACTCCCTACGCAGAGGAAGCAGGAAACACAGCAGGGACCCAGTATATGTGACTCCAGCCCTCCCCCTGACTCCCTGAAATGGCACCCTTGCTCTCCCCTACATTCACCTCGACACACACACAGCCTCCTACCCAGAGCCCCCTGCTCTGAGTCCTTCCCCACAAACCCCTTGCTCTGATCCCTCCACACAGTCCCAGCCCCCTGTCCTGACTCCCCTCACTCCAACCCTCTGCCTCCTCTTACCCCCAACCCTGACTCTTGAACTCTCACCCCTGCCCCAAACCCCTTCTCATACCCCCAACCCTGACTCCTGCACCCCCTAATCCTTGCCATAAGCCCCACCTCCTCCCAACTCTGGCTCCTGCAACCCCTATATCCCCCCTACTCTGATAACCCACACTTCCTGCCCGGATTCCTGCATCCTCCACATCCCCCATTCCTGATTCCTACACTGTACAACTCCAGATCCTGCCCTGAATCCCTCATCATACCCCCAGTCGACTCTCATATCCCCCCCACACCAGCTGAGTTCCTCATTCCCAAGCTCCTGCCCTGACTCCTGCTATTCTCCCCTCCACATCTCTGCCTGCCCTGAGCCTGGGCACTCACTGATGGATCTACAAATGACTATACTATTACAAAGCAATTTCAAAAATTACCTTGAGAGAGAAGCTGCAGAACTTGGTTTCATTTATAAGTTTGACACCAGTAATCAAGATAACCGTACTCAGAGAGTAGTTATTAATGGTTCACAATCCTGCTGGAAAGGCATAACAAGTAGGGTTCCGCAGGGACCGGCTCTGTTCAATATCTTCATCAATGATTTAGATATTGGTATAGAAAGTACGCTTATTAAATTTGCAGATGATACCAAGCTGGGAGGGATTGCAACTAATCTGGAAGATAGGGTCATAATTCAAAATGACCTGGACAAATTGGAGAAATGGTCTGAGATAAATAGGATGAAGTTTAATAAAGACAAATGCAAAGTGCTCCACTTAGGAAGGAACAATCAGTTTCACACATACAGAATGGGAAGCAATGGTCTGGGAAGGAGTACAGCGGAAAGGGAGCTAGGGCTTATAGTGGAACACAAGTTAAATATGAGTCAGCAGTGTGATGCTGTTGCAAAGAAATCAAACATGGTTCTGGGATGTATTAGCAGGTGTGTTGTGAGCAAGACACAAGAAGTCATTCTTCCACTCTACTCTGTACTGGTTGGGCCTCAATTGGAGTATTGTGTCCAGTTCTGGGCACCACATTTCAAGAAAGATGTGGAAAAATTGGAGAGGGTCCAGAGAAGAGCAATGAGAATGATTAAAGGTCTAGAGAACATGACCTATGAGGGAAGGCTGAAGGAATTGGGTTTGTTTAGTTTAGAAAAGAAAAGATTGAGGGGGGACATGATAGCAGTTTTCAGATATCTAAAAGGGTGTCATAAGGAGGAGGAAGAAAACTTGTTCATCTTGGCCTCTGAGGATAGAACAAGGAGCAATGGGCTTAAACTGCAGCAAGGGAGGTTTAGGTTGGACATTAGGAAAAAGTTCCTAACTGTCAGGGTGGTCAAACACTGGAATAAATTGCCCAGGGAGGTTGTGGAATCCCCATCTCTGGAGATATTTAAGAGTAGGTTAGATAAATGTCTATCAGGAATGGTCTAGACAGTATTTGGTCCTGCCATGAGGGCAGGGGACTGGATTCGATGACCTCTTGAGGTCCCTTCCAGTCCTAGTATTCTATGATTCTATGATTCTAAGGGTTGAACAAAGACCTGACCTGGATGGGTCGCTAGATTACACACTCTAATGACATAAAAAGCTAAGCACCAGGTACTTATGGTCCACTCAATTTGCCTCATTTAGCAAAGACACCCTAAGGGTGTGTCTAGACGGAGCCATGTAAAGTAGTTTACCCGACATAGTCAATGAAGCGGGGATTTAAATAATTCCCACTTCCTTAAAATAAAAATGGCTGCTGCACTGTGCTAACAATCAGCTGATCCGGCACAGTGCCGCAGTCTAGACGCAGCGTGGTCGACAAGGGAAGTCTTTGTCGACCGTTACCTTATGTCTCATGAAACGAGGTTTACAGGAGTGGTCAACAAAGGCTTCCCTTGTCAACCGCGCCGCGTTTAGACTGCCGCGCTGTGCCAGATCAACTGATTGTCGGCACAGAGCAGCCGCCATTTTTATTTTAATGAAGCGGGGATTATTTAAATCCCCGCTTCATTGACTATGTCGGGTAAACTACTTTACATGGCTCCGTTGACGGAGCCATGTAGTCTAGACACACCCTAATTAACAATATTTTTTCCTTTCTCTACTATTTATTTGTACCTTGAACTCCTTCATTCGTATGAAGAAGTGGGTTGTGCCCACGAAAGATCACAATACCATCTACATTTCTGTTAGTCTCTAAGGTGCTGCAGAACTATTGATTTTTTTAAAGTTTTTTATGCCTGTGAGAGGCACAAGCTTTCAAGCTCTTGTTAAGGTCAGGGAAAGGTACTACAAGCATCTCAGCTAAATACAAGATCAAACATATAGTTTAGCATAAGTAGTTAGCATATATTTTAAGGGGCCATTCAAGGTAAAGTAGCCCATTAGCATCTCTGCAGACATAGAATACAAAGGGGTGTTAGTGGGTTGCAAATTTTTGTAATAAACCATAAATCCACTATCTTTATCAAGACTATAATTTTTTGTTCATCTACCAACAACTTTGCTGAGCTGGTCACATAGTCTGAATGCTTGATCAGTGCCTCTCAAAACAGATTCTGTTTTCCGAGCTGAGGGAAGGACAGAGGAGTGTTGGGGGCCAGAGGAAACAATTTAAGGACATGTTTAAAGCAAACATGAAAAAGTGTGGTATCAGTGTCGACACTTGGGAATTTCTTGCCCAGGATGGTCCCCAATGGAGAGTGGTAATCCGTGAGAGGGTGGTGCAATATGAGAGGTCCTGCCGCAGTGCAGATGAGGAGAGGTGGAGAAGGAGAAAAGAGCAGCAAAAACTGCTTTGTGTCCCTCCAATAACCACCAGCACCTGCCCCTTCTGCGATAAGACCTGCATTTCCAGAACTGGGCTGATCAGCCATCTACAGATTCATAAATAGGAGGGTGACAGGAAGACGTCCTACTCATTATTGAATGACTGATAAGAGTGAGAGAGATTTTTAGTGTCTAGCAAAATTATGAATTTAAGCTCCCAAGTTTGTCTTTTGAAAGTGTAGTTCTAGTTGTTCTGGTTTCCTTTGAGGATGAGGACTGATAAGTCTGATATAGAATGATTGCTTTGTGGAAAGTTTTCGCCCATTTTCCTGGACAGCACAGGAAATTTGATGGACAAATGTACACAAGAAAACCACGGATCACCACACCTAACTTCATAGACCCAGTAACTACCCCAAACAAATCAAGGAATTTGTTATCTATAGCCAGGACTTCAAATACCACATAATAAGATTCAAACAGAAAGTCTGAGACATAGACCTTAACACACTCAAAACTGTCTTCACCCTTGGGTATGTCTACAGTGCACACTATCACGCATCTACAAAAGCCACCCATTATTTCAAACATTTTTTGAAATAATGGGTGTGCTATTTTGCCATCCCGATAAACCTCGTTGCGTATCTTACTTCAAGCTTATGGTGCTGTGTAGATGCACCCCTAGAGAAGACTGGTTCATACAGAGATAAAACCCCATCTAACTGCAAACCTCTAGTTGTCACCTACCACCCCACATGGGAAACCATTCAGGAGATCATCAAACAACTCCAACCCATGCTCAGTGTGGACCGTATGCTGAAAGAAATCTTTCCTGAACCCCCTCTTCTGGCCTTCAAATAGCCCCCCAACCTCATCATCAGAAGCAAGCTTCTCACAGACAAGGCCACACAAACATAAAGCCATGCCAGATTCAAGAATATTCAGTTCTGTTTAAGGGGTGTGCTCTAATGGACACAGATTCTTCTGCTTGTTCTCTCTAAGCTTGATCTCTCTTTTCTTTCTTCCCTCCAACCTATCTCTGTCCCTGCCCCAGTTCGCTTTCCCAGGTTCATTTACCTAGTTTAACCAGGATTGCTATAATCGTTATTAGAAACTTTGGCCAGGTCTAAAGGGGAAAGTCAACTTAAGATACGCAACTCCAGCTACATTAATTACATAGATGGAGTCAAAGTATTTTAAATCGTGTTTTGGTGCCATCCACACAGCGGAAGGTCGATGGGAGCACACACTCCCATCAACTTCCCTTACTTCTCGTGAGGAGCAGGACTACCAGCACCAATGGGAGCATCCTCTGAGTTCAAATTAGCATGTCTTCAGTAGACCTGCTAATTTGAACCCCGAAAGATCAACTGGAGCAGCTTCAATCTTCTCCGTAGTAGAGACAAGCCCCTTATCTCAGTTATGGTTACTTAGATTTTTTGTTTTATAAAGTGTTACAAAAGTTACATAACAAACCCTTCTTTGGGATTCTCTTTTCCTCAAGTTTTTTCTTTTTTTCTTTTTTTCTCAATGTGGGTGAAATGGAGAAAACTGGTTGTTTTTTTCTTCTTAGACATAAAAGAGGAAGCTTTTCAAAATTATCCATATATAGGACCTGTTAACAAAACAACATTTATTTTAATTGAACTTGCCATTATAATCAAGAAAAATGAAGACTTGTAGCAAGAATGCCCCATATACTACTTTTTCCTATAATTAAATGTTCTAGATACTTTTTTTAACTGATCTGATTAAAAATCTCTCCATTGTGTTTCTGATTTTTGTAAACAGATGCTACCCTTTTTCTTGCAAAACTATTTGTAACTAGGCAAAGTCTCTATTCGTTTGGCTAGGTGACTACTTGTTCCAGCCTCACATTTCTATAATCCTGGAAAAAAATACCAGTTTTTAGTTTAAACAACTCTTTAGTCATCATCTGTTATACCATGATGCATTTTTCTGCATCTTGTTAGTAACAATGACTTTAGCTGTGTGATCAAAGAGCTCTAAAAACAGGTTTTAATATTCTCATTTTCAAGTTAATACAGTGCTTGCTGAAACAGTTGAAGCTCCTACCCTTTATTTATCCAGAGAACTGGTATATAACATGCAGTAACAATTAATGCCATGTTATATGGTTACCTGCCTTGTGGGTAGGTGGTGTATGTGTGATTCACTGCAAGGAGCGCCTGGCCCTCAGAGACTGCATATGGGCTTTGGAGGCCAGGGTGGCTGAATTGGAGGAGCTAAGGGAGGCAGAAAGGCACATAGATGAGGCTATGGCCACTGTAGAACTGTCCCACCTCCATCAGACAGCCTCTGTGCTGTTAAGGAGGATGAAAGGCTCAGGATGTCTACACCACAAAGTTATTTCGAAATAACAGCCCTTATTTTGATATAACTTTCTTAGCATCTACACAGCCAAACCGCTATTTTGAAATTAATTTGAAATAGCAGAGCGCTTATTTCGAATTTGGTAAACCTCATTATACGAGGAATAACACCAAATTCGAAATAAGCGCTCTGCTATTTCAAATTAATTTCAAAATAGCGGTTTGGCTGTGTAGATGCTAAGAAAGTTATATCAAAATAAGGGCTGTTATTTCGAAATAACTATTTTGAATTTGGTGTTATTCCTCGTATAATGAGGTTTACCCATTTCGAAATAAGCGCTCTGCTATTTCAAATTAATTTCAAAATAGCGGTTTGGCTGTGTAGATGCTAAGAAAGTTATATCAAAATAAGGGCTGTTATTTCGAAATAACTATTTTGAATTTGGTGTTATTCCTCGTATAATGAGGTTTACCCATTTCGAAATAAGCGCTCTGCTATTTCAAATTAATTTCAAAATAGCGGTTTGGCTGTGTAGATGCTAAGAAAGTTATATCAAAATAAGGGCTGTTATTTCGAAATAACTATTTTGAATTTGGTGTTATTCCTCGTATAATGAGGTTTACCCATTTCGAAATAAGCGCTCTGCTATTTCAAATTAATTTCAAAATAGCGGTTTGGCTGTGTAGATGCTAAGAAAGTTATATCAAAATAAGGGCTGTTATTTCGAAATAACTATTTTGAATTTGGTGTTATTCCTCGTATAATGAGGTTTACCCATTTCGAAATAAGCGCTCTGCTATTTCAAATTAATTTCAAAATAGCGGTTTGGCTGTGTAGATGCTAAGAAAGTTATATCAAAATAAGGGCTGTTATTTCGAAATAACTATTTTGAATTTGGTGTTATTCCTCGTATAATGAGGTTTACCCATTTCGAAATAAGCGCTCTGCTATTTCAAATTAATTTCAAAATAGCGGTTTGGCTGTGTAGATGCTAAGAAAGTTATATCAAAATAAGGGCTGTTATTTCGAAATAACTATTTTGAATTTGGTGTTATTCCTCGTATAATGAGGTTTACCCATTTCGAAATAAGCGCTCTGCTATTTCAAATTAATTTCAAAATAGCGGTTTGGCTGTGTAGATGCTAAGAAAGTTATATCAAAATAAGGGCTGTTATTTCGAAATAACTATTTTGAATTTGGTGTTATTCCTCGTATAATGAGGTTTACCCATTTCGAAATAAGCGCTCTGCTATTTCAAATTAATTTCAAAATAGCGGTTTGGCTGTGTAGATGCTAAGAAAGTTATATCAAAATAAGGGCTGTTATTTCGAAATAACTATTTTGAATTTGGTGTTATTCCTCGTATAATGAGGTTTACCCATTTCGAAATAAGCGCTCTGCTATTTCAAATTAATTTCAAAATAGCGGTTTGGCTGTGTAGATGCTAAGAAAGTTATATCAAAATAAGGGCTGTTATTTCGAAATAACTATTTTGAAATAAGATATTTTGAAATAACACTGTAGTATAGACGTACCCTCAGGGAAGGAGAACAGTCAGCTGGAGCAGAGGGAAATGACCCCATAATTGGGACCCTCCTTCCAGATGATTTTATGGTATCCTCTCCCCCGAGGATACTTCTCCGGGGGAAGGAACTCCAGTCATTAGGAAAAGTCAGGTGTTAGTAATGGGGGATTCAATCATTGGAAACATTAGATAGTTGGATTTGTGATGACCAGAAGAACTGTATGGTGACTTGCCCACCTGATGGAAAGATAGCAGATCTCTCGAGACATCTAGATAGACTTAAGTATAGTGCTGGGAAGAAGCCAATGTTCATGGTACATATAGGTACCAATGACATAGGGAAGGGTAGGAGAGAGGTTCTGGAGGCCAAATTTAGGCTGATAGGAAAGAGATTGAAATCCAGGACCTCTATGGTAGCATTCTCTGAAATGCTTCCATTTCCACATGCAGGGCGAGGTAGACAGGCAGAGCTTCAGGGTCTCAATGCATGGATGAGACAAAGGTGTAGAGAGGAGGGATTTAGATTTATTAGGCTCTGGGGAAATTTTTGGGATAGGGGGAGCTTATACAGGAAGGATGGGCTCCACCTAAACCAAAATGGAACCAGACTGCTGGCACTTAACATTAAAAATATTGTAGAGCAGTTTTTAAACTAAGGGCTGGGAGAAAGCCAACGGGTGCAGAGGCGCACATGGGTCGGACAGAGACATCTCTTAGGGGAGGGTCTATTAACAGAGATTCTCTATGTTCTAGTCAGGATGGAAGAATGGGTCAGATCAGATGAGACACAATCAAATGAAAAAACGACTCTTAACGCATCAGGAAATGGCAGACAAATAAATAGTGAAATTTTTTTAAAGTGTTTATACACCAAAACTAGAAGTCTAAATAATAAGATGGGTGAACTACAATGCCTCATATTAAAGGAGGATATTGATATAATAGGCATCTCAGAAACTTTATGGAATAAGGACAATCAATGAGACGCAGTCATACCAGGGTACAAAATATATCAGTAGAACGGAACAGGTCATGCTGGTGGGGGAGTGGCACTATACGTGAAAGAAAATGTAGAATCAAATGAAGTAAAAATTTTAAATGAGCGAAAATGTTCTATAGAATCTCTATGCATAGTAATTTCATGCTCCAATAATAAGAATATAGAAGTAGGGATATATTATCAACCATCTGATCAAGACAGTGGATGATGAAATGCTATGGGAGATTAGAGAGGTTATCAAAATAAACTCAATAATAGTGGGGGATTTCAACTCTCTCTATATTGACTGGGTATACGTCATTCCAGGACAGGATACAGATATCAAATTTCTTGATACCTTAAATGACTTATTTGAGCAGCTGGTTCTGGAATGCACAAGGGGAGAGGCAATTCTTGATTTATTCCTAAGTGGAGTGCAGGATCTGGTCAAAGAGGTAAATATAACTGGATAGCTTGGAAATAGTAAACATAATGTAATAAAATTTAACATCCCTGTGGTGGGAAAAATACCACAGCAGCATTGTGGCATTTAATTTTAGAAAGGGGAACTACACGAAAATGAGGAGGTTAGTTAAACAGACATTAAAAGGTACAATGACAAAAATCAAATCCCTGCAAGCTACATGGAAATGTTTCAAAGATACCATAATAGAGACCCAGCTTAAATGTATACCACAAATTAAAAAACACAGTAAGAGAACCAAAAAAGTTCCATTGTGGTTTAACAACCAAGTAAAAGAAGCAGTGAGAGATTTAAAACAAATATTTTTTTTAAAGTGGAAGACAAATACTAGTGAGGAAAATAGAAAGGAGCATAAACTTTGTCAAAGTAAGTGTAAAAATATAATAAGAAAAGCCAAAAAGGAGTTTGAAGAGCAGCTTGCTAAAAATTCAAAAATAGTAAAATGTTTTTTAAGTACATCAGAAGCAGGAAGCTTGCTAAACAACCAGTGGGGCCCTTGGATGACCAAGATGCTAAAGGAGCACTCAAATATGATAAAGTCATTGTGGAGAAGCTAAATGAATTCTTTGCTTCAGTCTTCATGGCTGAGGATATTGGGGAGATCCCCAAATCTGAGACATTCTTTTTAAGTGACAAATCTGTGGAATTGCCCTAGATTGAGGTGTCATTAGAGGCGGTTTTGGAACAAATTGATAAACTTAACAGTAACAAGTCACAGGGGCAAGATGGCATTCACCCAAAAGTTCTGAAAGAACTCAAATGGGAAATTGCGGAACTATTAATTGTGGTATGTAAACTATCCTTTAAATCAGCTTCCGTACCTAATGATTGGAAGATAGCTAACATGACACCTATATTTAAAAAGGGCTTTATTGGTCATCCTGGCGATTACAGACTGGTAAACCTAACATCAGTGCCAGGCAAATTAGTTGAAACTATAGTAAAGAATAAAATTGTCAGACACATAGATGAAAATAATTTGTTGAGGTAAAGTCATCATGGTTTGTGTAAAGAGAAATCATGTCTTACTAATCTACTAGAGTTCTTTGGTGGGGTCAACAAACATGTGGCAAGGGGGATCCAGTGGATATAGCGTACTTAGATTTCCAGAAAGTCTTTGACAAGGTCCCTCACCAAAGCCCTTGAGTAAAGTAAGTTGTCCTGGGATAAGAGGGAATGACTTTTCATGGATTGATAACTGTTTAAAAGACAGGAAACAAAGGGTAGGAATAAATAATAATTTTTCAGAGTGGAGAGAGATAACTAGTGGGGTCCTCCAAGGGTCTGTACTGG